TGAGTTATTAGGCCCCCTTTCCTAGGCACTATACAAAGCACTTGAGGTTCTTTGTTTTTAAAAATCCTTCCAACAGTTTGTGAGGTAGATACTGATGTCATTTTCACTTGAAAAAATGGGGAAGCTGAGATTGAGAAAGATTGAATAATGTATCCCAAGTCACACATCTGCCAAAGAATCGACTTGATCTGGGTGTTTCTGAAATTGTAGCCAGTGTTTTTAACCTTGATGGCGAACTGCCCCTTGGGGTTTGCAGGGTGCTTTGCCATGGAGTCCAGCCTTGCTTTCACCATGACAAATTCCTCACCCCTCTAGTTCCCTGATGTTTCCAGTGGTTGTCTACAGAAGCTGGCACATAAAATCCTGCTAGGAGTGCCAACCTTGTGCCATTTGGTAGCTTATCAGCTTCATTCACCCAGAATGTGTCTTCATCTGGCCTTACTTTTACCCAACCATCCTCACCTTGGAGATACTGCTTCCCTCCCAGTGGTCTCTGAGCAGACAAGCTCATCTGTTTCCCTAGGCTTAGTTCTTGGGATGACTTCAAGCTCTCAGTGTATTTAGCCATTTAAATTCAACACATTCTGTAACTGAATCCATTATGTATCCGTCAAATGTTTTGAGTTTATTTCTTGGTTGTGTTTTGGTGGCCCTTTCAGAGATGAGGCTGGCCAAGAAGTCTGATGCTTAAACCTCATTAGAATCATGTACATGTTTCTGGCTTACTTAGTTTTTAATACCATCGAAGGCTGATATTTGGCATTTTGCGATGTATCTCAGTGCTACATATGGGCCCACTAGGATGGGCAAACCCAGAAGCACAAATTAACAAATCCACAAGCCTAGGTCTAATTTGTGACTCAGATCTCAGCAGTCCATCTCAAGTGGGTGCAGACAGAGATTTATTTAAATCTTAAATCACTTTATATATTTTATAATTAAAATTTTTATTGAAGTATAGTTGATTTACATTTGAATCACTTAAGAATTCACATTGGAAAAAATATATTTTTAAAATCTGATTCATGTAACAGCTGTAAATAGCATCTGTTCCTGCCTGGGGTTGCAGCCAGCTCAGAAATGGGCTCTGGTCTTCAACCTGATGATAATGACATGTCTCCGTTGTGGCCCCTACTGCTCAGTGAGCAGGCTGCCAGGAATTCTCTCTGGCCTGCAGGGTTGGAGACATGGAGTCTTCTGCCTCAGGCATTGGTCAGACCCCCTGACCCCGACTGGAGTCATACTACTTTCCTTCCTGAATGTAAAATGAAGATCCCATTACTGCCAGCCTCGTGTGGTTATGTTGAAGATTAAATCCTTGCAGAAACTCTAACTGGAAGTTTGGGGACATAGTGAGTCACTGCATAACTATTAGATATGACTATTATTCTTATTTATACATTAGAAGTGGTGGGAGGTACAATATGTCAAGGGTGTGCTGCCTGTTGCTTCCCGCATTAACCCTGTAAGGACTCTTTGTGGAGCTGGTGTTCAGTAAGAGAGGATCACATTCAAATTCCTTATTTTGATAATTGTGAAAAAATGATGGTTCTCAGGGCTACCACATTTAGCAGTTTCTTTGCCTCGTGTCAGTGCTTTACCAAATATGCTATACAAAGGATGCATGGGTGAACACTGTTTTAATAGGAATTTATTTTAATGTGTATTAGTTGAAGAAATGTAACTAACACATCAAATTCATGATTTCTTGACCCTTATTGCCCAAGATGAAGCTGAAATTTTAAAAAATTTATAGATTGTAATTAAGATTATGTATAGTATATAATTTTATATATAATGAGGGAGAGGAACAAATTAGGAATTTGGGAGTAACATATACACAATACTATATATAAAATAGATAAACATCAAGGACTTACTGTATAGCACAGGGAACTGTACTCAATATTTCGTAATAAACTGTATGGGAAAGAATCCGAAAAAGAGTAATGGAATCACTGCTATACACCTGAAACTAACATAACCTTGTAAATAAAAAATTAAGATTATATGTATAACATAAACGTATATACATACATAAATATATATTAAAAATAGGTTTATGTGGATATGGCAAAAATTTTATAGGGGGAACAGTATGTTTTTCATTTCATCCTCACTTAGTCTTGAGAGGCACCCACCATTATTCCCCCCATTTTACAGATGAAGGAAGAAACAGGTTTTAAAATGTTCACTTTTTTCTGAAGTGCCTCTTCACAAGTGGAGGACCTGGTATTCAAACTCATAGTGTTTCTTCTCTCTTTTCTGTCTGTGGGGGTTGTTTCTTACTTGCCTTCTCAGGTATCCTTTTTTCCCCCAAATTTTTATATTAACTTTTATTGTTGTTGTCTTCCTATACAATTAATATGTATTCATTACAGACATTTTAGAACGCACAAGGAAAAAACAGCGATTGAGCTAATGCACGTAATGTGAGATTATGTGCATTTTAAGTGTCAGTGATACACTATTGTTAACTATAGGCGTGATGTCAGGCAGCGGATCTCCTTTGACTCTTGTCACAGCCCTGTTAGGTGACCCAAACAAGGATGTGGAGAGAAATCAGTGAACACACTGGAGTGCCACAGGAAAGTATAAGCACCTCACACTCCTGGTTCCCAGACCCTCCCTCTGAACCATACGGCATCACAGCATGGACCCTGGCGAGCTGCCCCTTCCTTTGCGTGTTCCCAGGGTCCCATCAGAAGCCACTCAAGTTTAATATTGCCATAAGCCTCTGTCTGCAAGTGGAGGCTGGGCTGTGTTCCCATGGTGGCAGCAATACTGGTTGGCACTTGGGCTACCCTGGCTTCTTCTGATCTAGGAGCTCAGTGACCCTGTCTCCGCAAATGCGCACAATAGGCTTGTGGCCACAGGTTCAATTAAGCCACTTCTCAACTTAGATCGGGTGCTACCCGATCACCAGTTTCTAACCGTCGCTTTTCAGCTGGTCACTTTGGGATCTTTCGGGCCCACCACCTCCTTCAGTGGTGATCTGTGGGGAAGAGAGGTTGTGATGTTAATGGCACAAAAAATGCCACAAAAAACAGACGCCGCTTACATGGAGATTTACAGTTACAATTGCAGCACAGTTCAAAACAAGCCATTCACACTGGCCTGTGGTTCTTTGAAGTCACATCTTAGGTCTCTGTGAGTTTCAGAGGCTGATCTTTTTGTTCACCCCCACGTTAGTCATATGCCTAGGGCCCCAAGTGCCCCCACTCATTATAAGGCACCACTGAGAGGCTCCTGGCCTCTTAGATTTTACCCTGGCCCCACAGCTGAGCTGAAGGCCAAAGATCCTTTCTGTTTCAGCAAAAAATATGCTGGTCCCAGGTGCTTGATAAAGATCTTTCTCTTCCTCATCGTTAATACCAAATGATACTACCCAGCAATAGGTAACATGAATAAAATGAATTTCTTCTTAGAGTCTAATGGTTTAAGAGGAGGATTTGGTGAGGCACTCAGACACTCCTGGTGGATGTTGAAGGCCATTGTAGTATATGCTGTCATTCATGTTACTCCTTAGTGCTCCCTCCAAATGATGATGTTTTCTGGCTAAATTATTCTTAGCAAGGGTGTCGCCTGTGGCGAGTTGTGTTAGTCATGCTGCCTGTGGGCCTAGCTTTGGCATTCATCTGACTCCAGCTTTTCCCCAGCCCTCACCCCATCCATTTCTGACCAGCCTCAGGCACTGACAAAAGTGCTATCAGCAAACTTCAGAGGCCCAATAGGAGGCGTTGTCCACCCTCCCAGCCTACAGCCAAACAAGGGAGAAGCTGCCTGAAAACATACAAGGACCTAATCCAACCTTTGTTGCACAAAGCAAATTGCATTTCAAGCTCTAGAAAACATAAGCCATTCATTCTAAACCTGACCAAGATTCATCCATTACTAAATTGTGATAAATGTTTGTTTTGGAAAAGTGGATTGTCAGTATTTTCAGATTCACTTATCACCCAGAAAGGCTGTGTTTTTCCTCTTTAGAAAAGTCAGAATAGGAGAAAGCCTCGGGTTGTTCTAACCTGTTTTCTGGGCAAAACTGAGAAGTTTTCTGACATCTTTTTGAGTAGCTCTGTACAGCACCATAGGATGGAAGACTCTTAATTCGGCCACCCTGACTCGGCATCCTCCTGTTCCCCATCCCCCTCCCCTCACCTAGGTAGCATGAGGGTGCCCCCCATCTGGACTGACCCTGGTGGGGGAGCTAAAGAGCTTATTTAAAAGGGGAATGATCACAGAATGCAGGCAGAGAGATTGCCTCACCCAGGTGAGGGTTTAGAGCAGGTTTCTTTCTTGGTTTTTGTCCCAAATAAAATTGGTATGTCAAATTTTAGAGAAGAGCTAGAGTCATTTCTAATCCCACCATGCTTTGTATTTGCTATGTAGCTTCTTTGATCACTTAGTGTGTTTATTTGTACACAGAAACGTGTACCATCTTGTGCTGAAAATGTGTGGTTTTCTCATTTAGCATATTCTGAACATCATTTCATGTAAATAAGCAGAGTTCTCCTTCATGTTTAAGGAGTGCTGAGTAATTTTCTATCTGAGGACTCTCTACCCCTCTCTTCTTCCTTTGTTTTCCCCTTTCTCTCCCTCCCCACCAGCTCCTCTCCCTTCCTTCACTGGCAATTGTTATAACTATTCTCCCTCATCTTTTGCTCCAGTTCCATGTAGTTGTTTCCCCTTTTTCACTCTAACATTTTATAATATACTCTCTGACATATGTAAATAATATGAAATAAAGAGAGGATTTTTGTAGTGTTGGGCTATGCTGATGCTGTAATTCGGACTGAAATAATCTGCGTTTCCATTTTTGGTGTGCGTTGGCCTTGTAATATTTTCTGTCCAGGTTCTGTGAGAACAAACATGACAGTATTTTGAAAGGCTTTCATATCCCCAGAAGGAAGAAATGACAAAAAGGCGAGACATTATAATGCATGTTGATGATCAAGCCCTCTGTCACTTCTGAGACACGATGATGTATCTTACTTCCTCAGACCCTGCGCCCGTGCACAGAGATGGGCAGAATGAAGCGGACAGCGCACCAGAAGATGTGCTCTCTGTTGAGACTAGCAGGCTGCTCTGTCACATCACCGACGGCGACAACCCACTGCTGTCACCACGATGCTCCATCTTCAGCCAAAGCCAGAGATTCAACCTAGACCCTGAATCAGCCCCTTCTCCACCCAGCACTCAGCAGTTTATGATGTAAAAAATATCTTGTTCTTATCTTCACTTCATACAGTTTTCAAATACTCCATTTATAAACTACAGTGAAGTTTATAAATAAACTTCAAAAATAGAGCAAACATGCCTACCAAAAGCAGCTGCAGGCCCTGAACCATACATGGCAAAAAATCAGTGTACTTTTTAGTTAAGAATGCCGTTTGAAGCTTTCTTGTCTCAGAAGGAAATGGTCTCAAGAAACAAGTTGCCATATGGCTCACGTGTTTGAATGATTTTCATGAAATGACCAGAATCCTAAGAAATGTGCACATGCAAATACCGGAAATGCCATTCTTGGTGAGCTATTATTTCTGTGTCCAGGAGTGGCCTCAATGGATGGATTGTGGCAATGCTTGGCAAGTTGTTCATCTTAATTTCTTCTTTGATTCTAGAAAAGTGATAGCTTACAATAGCTCCCCCACAAAGAAAAATGTGAAACTATGTGTTCTTTTTTTTTTTTTTAAGTTCCATTAGTAGTTTTGATGCATAGCTAAAATGAGTCTTCCCTTGATTAAATATATGTGCTGGGAGTTCCTACATTCTCCTTAATACCTCCTGCTGTCACTCATGAATTTATCCAGACCTTGTTCCATGGACTGTCTACTGATGAACTTGAGGGAGTTAGTAAATTATTACTATTTTAAAGTATGTTAGGTGAGAAAATAAACATGTTTTCTAGAGAGGGAGTCCATTTCTTTTATCAGATTCACAAAGGCTCTATTATATCAAGAAAACTTAACTACTCATCTGAATCCTTTTTGAAAATATTGTTAGTCTGGGCTCAATCCCTGGTGATTCAGATGTAAATAATCCACCTGCCAATGCAGGAGATGTAAGTTTGGTCCCTGGATCAGGAAGACCCCCTGGAAAAGGAAATGGCAACCCACTCCAGTATTCTTGCTTGGAAAATCCCATGGACAGAGGAGCTTGAATGGGGTACAGTCCCTGGGGTCACAAAAGACTGAGCACAAGCACACATGCATGCCATTTATTGAGGATAACGCAGTCTCATTTGTCTGAAATTGGCATCCTTCAAGATTTAGGAAATGCATTTCTTAGACTAATATCCTGACCTTTGTAGACAAAATTCCTTGATAACATTTGCCTACAATGGAGGTCTGTGAATCAGGGGTCTCCAATACCCAGCAGATGCTACCATAGGAGGCTCATCAAATGATGAACTGGCCTCTGGACTTTTCTGATAATCCAGGAAGCTGGGTTTGTAGATAAGCAGCAGTGTTTACTGGAAGATCATTTTTTTTTAAATTTGTTTTTTAATTGGAAGAATGTTGCTTTACAATATTGTATTAATTTCTGCTGTTTAACAAGGTGAACCAGCCATAATTGTTTTGCTATAATTTATATCTTTTTAAAAACATTTTCTTGGAGTATAGTTGATATACAATGTTGTGTTAGTTTCAGATGTACAGTAAAGTGAATCAGTTATACATATACATGTATCCACTCTTTTTTTAGATTCTTTTTCCATATAGGCCATTACAGAGTATTAAGTAGTGTTCCCTATGCTGTAGTGCAGGACCATATTAGTTATCTGTTTTATATACGATAGTGTTTTTAATGACTCTCTCCCTCCCTGGACCATTGCAGGCTCCGCAGTTCTTCCCGGTGCAGCTGTGGTGATGGCAAGGAGCCGCAGACCATTACCCAGCTCACCAAGCACATCCAGAGCCTCAAGCGGAAAATCAGGAAATTTGAAGAAAAATTTGAACAAGAAAAGAAGTACCGGGTAAGGAAGGCCCCTGTGATTTGAAATGAGTGGATTGTGTCAGAGGTATATGGGCTTTTCTGTCCTTCATTTTTGAGTACATCTCTGTGCCTGGGGACAGCTCAGTTCCCTGCGGCCAACCCAGGACTCATCACAAGTGGAGTCCCTCCTGGGTCTGTCAACTGATCTCTGCTAAGATAATTCCTAGCAACAAATTGCAACTCTTATTTCCAAACTGATTTAATTATTGATTTCTCTCTCTCTCTTTTTTTCCCCTGAGAAACCTTACTATCACTAGTGTTCCTAGGACTCAAATTTGGAAAGATTTTGAATTATGGTCTTATTTGTTCTTTAACTTTTTCTCATTTGTAGTTGGGGTAAGAAAGCAGATCCAACATGGAGTCATTTGCATTTAGATAAGAACCTATTAGGACTTCCCTGGTAGCTCAAGTGGTAAAGAATCTGCCTGCAATGCAGGAGACCCCGGTTCAGTTTCTGGGTCAGGAAGATCCCTTAGAGAAGGGATGGGCTACCCACTCCAGTATTCTTAGGCATACCTGGGTTCGATCTCTGGGTTGGGAAGATCCCCTGGAGAAGGGCATGGCAACCCATTCCAGTATTCTTGCCTGGAGGATCCCATGGATAGAGGAACCTGGTGAGCTACAGTCCATGGGGTCGTAAAGAGTTGGACACGACTGAGTGACTAAGCACAGCACAATCCAAGAACCTATTAAGGGCGCAAAGGATGGAATTTCTAATTGTGGAACAGAATGAGGGAGAGTTTTCTTTGACAATAAAGTACTTTCTGGTTGATGGATGAGCACCTATCAAGTGACGTCTATTCAGGCCACTCTTAAGGACAAACCCTGATCTCATCCTTTCTCTCAGAGAGACACCAGCCTTTGTGCTTGTGTGACAGTGTTGCAACTATGAACTTTTCTTAAATAAGAAGCGATAGAGTCAGAGCTAAGTGTCCTGATGTCCCAATGCTAGTTTTATTTATTGTCTGTAATGGTGATCATGGCATAGAGAAAAATCATATCCGTGTAGAACTGCACAAAGATATTGGGTTTTTGGCAAAGGGCCCAGAACAGCTTGTTATTAGAATAAAAGAGAACAGGGGATAAGGTCTCATACATCTTAAAATATTTAAAGGCTCACTAAGCAGTTGGTCCAGAGGCAATCTGCTGGTTCCTGAGGTGTGGGTAAGTTCTTGGGAGGGAGCTGTGAGTAATATTTCTTTTTCCTGTTCTTCCTGTCCTGTGCGTCCCACAGTGACTGCAAATTCACTAAAAGAGGGGTTGTAAGGAGTAATTTTTAGCTTTGCAAAATGGATGGAAAAGAAAAATCAGATTAGCTTTCAAGACAACTTCAGTCAGGGTGCTAAAGACTCTTCTCTTCCTTGAGGTCAGGCGGCCACAGCTGCTTATGGTCTTTCATGTAGTAAGAGGGTGCTGTGCACATTGTAAGTACAGGCTTTATTTCACAGATAAGGAGCAGGAGGCCCAGAAAGGACTTACAGCCTTCCTAAGGTAGTTGTGTCCTAGCATCTCAGGTTTGGGGTGGTTAAAGATGAGTTGGTCTTACAATGGAGGAGTGGAGTAAAATTCTTAAAGTGTCCGCATTTTGAAAACTCCACATAGCCTGAGAGGAGCTGATTTTCCTTGTCTGCTGCTGGAGTGTTGCTGGGTCTGCAATGCCCTCGTACTGGAAACTGTAGAGAAACAGCTAGGGCCTCCATCCCCAGGGGCCTGTTAATAGTTCTTACTTGGTGGTTCTTGAATCAGACTGACCTGGGTTTGAATCCAAGCACAGCCACTTATGAACTCTGCGACTTGGGTCTTGTTACTTTATGTTTCTGAGTCTCATTCTATCCATCTGAACAGTGGAGTTAATATTAATAGTGACTTCTTAGGTTTGTATTAAATGAGGGAGTCCATATGTATTGCTTATTACAGTTTTAGCACCAGGGAAGTAAGTGGTCCTAGATATTACTAACTTTTTCATCTGTTTGAGTGATACTTGAACACGCTATCCCATGGCAACCTCTGCCTTGTTGAAGTAAAAAGGAAAATTATAGACATTAATTTTCCAGTAGATTTTTCTGCCTGCAGATATAGACTCTAGATTGTGGAGAGTCTGTATATATAACAGGTCACCTGGCAGTTGGCTATTTTAGAAAATAATTCCTCCTGGCACCTCCTGCCTTTGTCTGGAGAAACTTTAGGGCCAAAGCAGACACTTGCCCACACATTTAAACATGCAGGTGGATGGATTTGGGAGCAGTAAAAGACTTCATGGTCACGACTTCTCTCTGTGTGTGAAAGTCTTTGATGTAATCAGAACCTTCAGTGTCTCAGGAAACAGGGCTTCCCCTCACCCTTCCTGTCTGGATGCCAGGCTGTGGTTAGAGGTTTGACATGTCACTGGACTTGAATTGGTTGCTCTGTGTATGGCTTTCCTTCCTGGAAGCCTGACTGTGGAATTAACAGCACCTGCTGCTAATTTTTGAATCCAAGTTCCTGCTGGCCCTCCATGCTAGTCTGATGCCCTGATACAATATACATCCTTCCTGCTCTGTTGAATATAACTATTTCAGTTCCTGTCCAGAGCTGTGTTTATTTCCTACACGTTTACATTTTACATTTAACTATTGTTAGACTCATGCGCCTAGAAAAAACCTGTTTCAGCCAGATGTCTACTTTCAGTAGAATTAGAGAGTGTTAGGATTAGAAAGGATTAGTTTTCTCTTGTTTGACTACTGAAGAAACTGAGGCTCAGAGAAGGGAAGTGACTTCTCTAGGTTCACACAGCAAAGAATTAATCGCAGCTAAGACAGTAACATGGGTCCTTTCATTCCTGATCTGTAAATCTTTGTAAGATGTCCTTTGAATTGTCTTTGCATGTGTGTGTGCTAAGTTGCTTCAGTCATGTCTGACTCTTTGATGCCCTGAACTGTAGCCTGCTAGGCTCCTCTGTCCATGGGATTCTCCAGGCAAGAATATTGGAGTGAGTTACCATGCCCTTCTCCAAAGGATCTTCCCAACCCAGGGATTGAACCCACACCTCTTACATCTCCTGCGTAAATAGGCGGGTTCTTTACCACTGGCATGTTTGGCAAATCACAAGTCTGGTCCAGCAGCACCCTCAGTTATGTGATTCAGGAGCCCCATTTAAATCACACTGAACAATATCTACACTAAGTTTGTGATATATGGCCCTTGGGGCCTATTAAACTGAAATATTTCAGCCCAGAAGTTAGAAGGCTTGAAGATCCACAGCTTGTGTTTGAAAACTTTCCATGTGATATGAGAGCTGCCATCCTTCTCAGCTTGATTTAACCTTTTTTGACAGCTCTCCCAGGAGTAGGGAAGTACAAAATTCATTTTAGAAAATGATTTCAGGCTTTCAAATATTTTGCCAAAAAATTCAGCCTTAAATTTCTACTAAGTCCTGTTTGCAGTAGTGTAAGTTTACTTCTTGGTCGTTGGTCCTTGGCTTAGGGTCTTAGATTTTTGTTTTTAACAGTATTTCAAAAAGAGTACATAAACTGTATGGAGCATATCCAGTGAAAAAGGTATGTTCCAGAGAACAGGATGTTTTTAGATCAATGTGGAGAGTTCTGTGAGGATTTTGAGAAACCAAGTATAAAATACTGACTGTTCACATAACCAGACTGTTACCCACAGTGAGAGTACTTAACATTGTATCAGGGAAGTAGTCCGGTGGGTCATTCTAGCAGAAGGTGAGTAGGGCCAGGAGCAGCCTTTGGAGGGGTGTCCCTGTGTCGCTGTCCGTGGTCCTGAAACCAGGGCTTCCCTCCTGGAAACCAGAGTCTCCCTTCTTGGCTCCTGCAGGGAAAAAAAATCACTGGGCTTCCATGAAGGTGAAGGGGAGGGGAATCTTCCCTCAGTGTTATTTTGCATCTTGATTTTTAAACTGTATGGATTTTACATCTCTATAGAAGTGACAGAACCATGTTTTGTGTTTCACAATTAAAACATCCAATCCCATGTACATTAGATGATCCTCTTACACGATCACTGTTTCTTTCTTCAAACTTGAGAGGAACACAGTCTTCTCCCCATGTCTCTGTGTCTCACCAACAACTTGCTGATGTTACATGGATTTAATAGATTCTTAATCACAGCAGAACCACCAGTCTTGTCACTAATATTGCACACATTTCTGGCTACTATTGCAGTGTTTATGATGTCTTCTTGAGCATGCCTATATAGCTGTTTGTATTACTATATTCCCAATTCAAAGTAACGACTAATTTCTTGAGCCTGTGTTTAAGTTACCAGAGTGGGCATGTTTTCTGTTCTCCTCTCCTAGTTTCTCTTTTCTATAGAAAATTCACTTTTATACTCTGAAAAGAAATCCAGAAATCAAGGTGAATGATTTGTATGAACAGAGTCATAGTCTTCTAAAATTAAGGCTATATTCTTATTGCCACATCCAGGTGTGATTATTTACTAGTGAGGATATACTATCCTGCATGTGTGTGTTGGTAAGACTTATGGTTCCTTTGAAGATCTGGTAGTAACACCACACTACTGTTACTGTCACCTCTGCCAGTAATGATAGCAGTAATAGTATTTTAAATTCTAGCTAACACATCTATAGTGTTTAGCATGTGCCTGGAACTTTTCTTCATGCATATTCATCATGTTTCATGTTTCAGACTCATCATGTTTCATGCATATTCACTGATTTATCCCTCATAGAAACCTTATGAGAAAGATGCTATTAAATCCTCATTTGCTAGATCAAATTGGGGCATGGGGAGGCTAAATAATTTGCCCAAGTCCACACGCATATGGTTGATCTTTAATGCTACTCCAGCAGAATAGTGAGTCTGTAAATAGTGAGGAGTTGAAATCTGTGGATGAGGATTCTTCCATACATACTGACTTCTCAGACTTATAAGGTTTTAGAGATCCTGGGGTCTCCTTTCTTCAGCTTGGAGCTTGTGACTGATAGGAGCTAAAGCTTCCAGTTTGTAGTATTCCCTAGACAGGGTGTGGTCGTAAACCATGAACAGAGGCAAGGGAGGAAGTGCTGTTTTGTGTCAGTATAGCCCTCACACTGATACAAAGAATGACCTGGCCACGGGGTGTCAGGTGTGGGTAGCCCACAAGGTGATTGAGAGGTAGACTTCATGGGGCACTGGCATGGTGAGGACTCTGTAAAAATGCCAGGTGGCCAGGCGTGCTTAGAAACAAGGCCCATGGCAAGGATGAAAGAGTGGAGGAAGCCAGGAATGTCTGCTCTGTTTCTCAGACGCAACTTCATCTGCTGGAGATAGCTTGCCTGAAGCTCCCTCCCAGCTTTATACATGTTCCTGAACTATCTTTGTGTGCCTCCGCTGCTTAACATTTTTTTTCCTTTTTCTCTCTTTTTTTCTTTCCCTCCCTCCTTCCACCCCCATTTTCCCCTCCCTTGCAGCCTTCCCATGGTGACAAGACATCTAATCCTGAAGTCCTGAAATGGATGAATGATTTGGCTAAAGGTCGTAAACAGCTCAAAGGTAAATGCCGGCTAAGGGAGTCTCCTTTTTAAGGAAGGAAGAAGTTAAAATTATGATAATGTGCTACAAGCAGTTTTGGATTCTCTTCTACTTGGGCCCTCTTTAACCTTGTCTCCTGCCGAGTTTGGAGGCCCTGTCTTAAAATAGAGTCCTGGGTTTCCTTCATTGTTTGATCCCATTGAATACATCTGCATATAAAGGGACTGAGGAAATCCAGCCTCCCAAGTGGAATGATTCACTTCAGTGCCAGGAACATTTCAATATGTGGAGTGTTCACCTCCTTGGGTTCTTGGGTTCTTGGATGTCAGAAACAGAAGAGGCCTGAGCAGTCATTGATTCCACATACCCCAACTTCACAGAGGAGGATATTTATGTCCAGAGAGAGGGGACGGTGACATGGCTGGAAGGTGGTGAGTTCAGAGTAAAACTCGGTTCTCTTGCCTCCTAATCCTTTCTCTGTCTCTCTGGAGATGGTGGTCTAAGTATTAATTAACTCTCAAATCCATTTTAAGGGACTATAGTTATTTACCAATAAAAATTTATTTTCTTCCTCTTCCTACATTTTTATTTCAATACCTAGAGACATAGGAGCTTTTCCAGATTTCTAAAAGGATGGTGATAAAGAACTAGAAAGGAATACTAAATTAATTCAGTGGTATTAAACTGTAGTGATGTAGCAGGTTTATAAAGTATGCAGTGTTTAAACACCACACCAGAGCCTAACTAAAAAACAAACATCAGACAAAGAAAGTGTGCTATGTAATTGAGAAATCAATATAAATGGCCTCCTTCAAAAGACCAGCCCCCTAGCATATTCTGAAATAGAATTTCCTAATAAGTCCCAAGTGGCTCTTTTGTTTTTATTTATGTAGGTTTATATAAAGCCAAATTGCAATAATGGTGATTTCTGGATTTTAAATATTGGCATTAGACAAAATTGTGAGATCTGTCAGGTTGGGGCTGGGACTGTATCTCCCGTTCCCTACCCTTCCTGTATATCCTTAGATGACTGCCTTGTGTAATGTCTTCCCGGAGACCTTGCATTTCCACAGGGGGCTCTTCATGACTGCACAACTTTCAAAACCTGAGGAAAGGAATCTTTGAGCGTAGTATTTTAGGTGCTGTGGCAGATAACAGGTGAAAACTTTGGGGCCAAGTACCTCTGGTCTTCTTCCTCTGAAATTTAAACTATTCGTGATCCTTCTACTTCTATGAGATCCTTACCTCAAGAGCCCTCTATTTTCACATCTGATGGGGAGTGTGTGCTACTGGCCTTGGTTATTCAGGCTGCCCTTGCCCTGTGGAAAGCCATGATCAGCACTGTTCATTTCCACTCGGCATCAGGGGAGAAATTCCTGAAAGGCTCTTTGCTCTTACTAGACCAATGAGTCTGCGTTCTCGTGGTAACTCACCACATTTCTCTTAGAACTAAAGCTGAAGCTGTCGGAAGAGCAAGGGAGTGCTCCCAAAGGCCCACCTAGAACCCTGCCCTGTGAGCAAGCCACAGTCCCCAGAGAGAATGGGAAGCCGGAGGCCGTGGGCCCTGAGCCGAGCTCCTCTGGAGAGGAGACTCCAGATGCTGTGCTGAGCTGCCTGAAGGAGAAGAGAGAGCAGCTTCCTTCCCAGGAAGATCCTAAGGTACCTCACCAGCCTTCACAGGGCCCCAGCCCTCTAGATGGCACCAGTAAGACTGTGGTTTTGACCAGTTTGTGTCACATAAACAACTTTGTGAGACTGGCTCTGAAGATTTCAGTCAGATGAGTTCCTAGTGGGTTATTAGCTATGACCTAGGGTATTGCCACATGGTTCTGGGTATTGCCATTCTGAAGGTTATAGTGTTGCATGTTAATGAGAGACAAATGGTAAAGATGCTAGAGTATATCATATCTCGTTCTCCCTTACTTACCCCTGATAAATTAGCAAAGGAACCCAAGACTAGGATTATAGACTCATTTTACTGTGTGTGTGTGTGTGTGTGCATGCACCCCCGTGGACTATAGCCCACTAGGCTCCTCTGTCCATGAGATTTTCCTGGCAAGAATACTGGAGTGGGTAGCCATTTCTTCCTCCAGGGGATCTTCCCAACCTGGGGATTGAACTCAAGTCTCCTGCGTCTCTTTCATTGGCAAGTGAATTCTTTACCACTAAGCCACCTAGGAAGCCCAAGGTCTTTATAGATGTAGTTAAGTTAGGGTTACTTGAATGAGCCATACTCTGTTATGAATGTTGTACTTATAAATTTGGACACAGAGAGTAAATGCCTTGTGAATATGGTTTAATATTTCATATCATAAAATAGAGAGGTAGGGTTTCTTGAGGAGTGCTATGTAACATATTTAAAGACTTCAGCTTAGACATCTTAGTTTTGAAATCTTGGTGAGATACCTAGATACAGTTTTCAGTTACACATTTGGATATATGAGCTCAAAGAAAAGATGTATTATATTTTACCAAAAAAGATGATGAAACCAATTCGTATTTACCTGGTTAGTCCCTCCTCTCCTGCATATCTATGCTCACATTTTACTAATGCCAAGGAACCTTGCTAGTAGTCTTTTCTGTCTGAATTCTGAGTAGCAGGGTTGTCTTTCATTTCTTGAATAATCTATAGCTACCATAACATAGGACTTCCCGGTGGCTCAGTGGTAAGAAATCTGCCTGCCAATACAGGAGACATGGGTTCAATCCCTGGTCAGGAAGATCCCCTGAAGCAGGAAATGGCAACCCCCTCCAATATTCTTGCCTGGGAAATCCCATGGACAGAGGCTACAGTCCATGGGGTCACAAAAGAGTCAGACACGACTTAACAACTAAATAATACCCTAACATAGCTTGTAACTATTCTGTATGCCACTTTCTGTCTCTCACAGTACTTGACAACTTCTTGAGTAAAGAAGTTTGTTACTTACGATCCTTAGTGTCTGTGCATAGTAGGTATTGAATAAGTGTTTATAGAGTGAATGGATTTATGAATGAACAGACTAGCATATTAGACTTTGAAATAAAGTCCTCTTGAGGAGAATGCTGGCTTTGTTCTGTTGTATTTACATTATCTAGTCTAGATCTTAAAATGCCAACATATGCCAAATCCCAAAAGGCTTACTGTTTCCCCTTGGACTAGCCCTTTACATTGGTGCATATGACATACAAGTAGAAATGGGCCCTTGGATACCTCTGTCATTAAGAAGTAGCGTTCAACTCAAAAATAACCAGTGTGTCTAATGAGTGATTTTCACTCAGCCAACGTATCCCCTCCTCCCACCCACAAAGGTTCTAGACTTTGTCATGGTCCTTGGGTAAGCAGATAACTGTGTGTGTGTGTGTAGACACATGACATGCTCACATATCCAGGCACCTTTGCGATTTCCCATTCTTGAGTGCTTCTGATGGTCTTTCCTATTTTTATAGCTACTTTGACCACATCTATAAAAGCAACGTATAACACTTAGAGTAGGACTCAGTCCTTGAATAAGCCACTTTCTAGTTATGTGCTCTTGACAAGTGAACTAATTCTCCGATATTCAACTTCTTCATTGATAAAAATACAGATAATACCTATTAATATAGTTGTTTTGACAATAAAGGGCGATGCCTGGTAACTGGTGGGCAGTCATTCATTTGCAAAAAGATCTGAGTACCTACCAGTGTTATGAACTGTGATATGTGCTGGATAAAAAGATTAACAAGATAGCAAAGTGATGTGGGTTACTGTCTTCTTGGCACTCATGTTTTTCTGGGAGTTGGGATATAAGAAATAATTCAACAGATAAAAACCACTAAAGATTTTGATAAGTACTGTGCAAAGAAACAGATGATATGATAGAAAATAATAAGAATGGTTTCTGTATTATATATTGCGGTGAGGAAGTCCTGTGACATTTAAGGCAAAAGAATCAGCAGGCCAAGAGAGCAGCAAAGAGCATTCTAGATAGATGGAATTGCAAGTATGGTGGTCTTTGAAGGAAGAGCTCATCTGTGGTTGGAATTCTCAGGTCTGAGTGCTAGTGCACAGGGCTGCATGAGATGAAGTCAGAAAAAACAGGTCAGGGCCCATAACACAGGAGTTCCCAGGCCACTGAAAGTATCAGGCAGCTGTTGAATGGTTCCAAGTGTGAAAGTGGCATGGTGTGATTTACACTATGCAGAATAAATCATAGGGAAAAAGAGCAGGAACGGGAAGATGAAATGGGTGGTTTGGACTAGGATGTTCACTGTGGAGATGGAAAGAAGCAGACACATTCAAAGCCTATTTAGGTTCTAGAATCAAAAGGATGTGCTGACTTACTGGGTGGTAGGGAGTGAAGGAAAGGAGGTGGGTCCATTTACTGATGGGGAGAAGCTAGAGGGGAGTACACTGAGGGTGGGAGGGAATGCTTAGGAGGTCTGTTTAAGACACGCTCATTTTAAGATCTTTCAGGACCAGGGTGACCTACCATCCCAGGTTTCCGTAGACTTTCCTAACTTTAGCACCAAAAGTTGCATGGCTCATCAAAAGCCTCAGTCCTGGGAAAACTGGGGTGATCCCTCACTCTGCTGAGGCATTTAAGTCAAATAAAAGCCATGTAATTGAAAGCCTGAAGGTCAGAAAAACTCTGAGTTCTCTAGTCATCTCTGAAGTCATTTTTGTTTAAATGGCAGTTTATTTCTCTTGTTTTATTTTACTTATTTTAATTGGAAGATAATTACTTTACAATATTGTGAAGGTTTTTTGCCCATACATTGACATGAATCAGCCATCCGTTGAACTGTTTAGTGTCAGAAAGTGAAAAGTGAAAGTTGTTTAGTTGTGTTCGACTCTTTGTGACCCCATGGACTATAGCCTGTCAGGCTCCTCTGTCCATGGAATTCTCTAGGCAAGAATATTGGAGTGGGTAGCCATCTTTTTCTCCAGGGGATCTTCCCAACCCAGGGATTGAACACGGGTCTCCTGTGTTGCAGGCGGATTCTTTACCATCTGAGCCACCAGGGAAACTCCTAGTGTCAGAAGTCCCTTCACAGAAGCCTTGTATCTCTGCAGTAGGCTAAAGTTAGTTTCTTTAAAAAGAGATCACCTGCTGTGGAATGTGTGAGTCTCAGGACCTAAAGCTGCAGGATTGTTCCGGGAGAACTTCACACAGCCGACCTGACGTGGCCGGGCAGCTATAGATGGTTCTTAAGGGGGCAGTCTAGAAGCCACACAAGCGGCAAAGGGAGGACTGAAAATTTCTCAAACAGCACTATTCTTGGCTCCTTGGGGAGCTGATTAGCATTTGAGGTGATCTCATTAGGTCCCATTTCTTTAAACTCAAAATGACAGATGATTTTCATCTGGGGTCTTTGCTTTACTGCTTAAAATGCATTAAATATTAAAGCTTTCAAGATGAGTTCTTTCTTTTCTAGAGATGCCTTTATTATGACTCTTCCTGAAATTTTTGCCATGGTGTTTAGTCAGAGCTCGTCCTAAAACTGATAAATGCAGGAGACCCTACAGCATGGCCTTGTCAGTTCAGATCCTGCCACTGAGTGATTTTCTCCCTCCATCATCTGTGGGTGATTTTTGGAGATAGTCACTTCCAGGTCACAGGGTGTGCATTGAGCCCTGGAAGTGAGTGAATCATCCCTCAATTCTGATTATTGTGCCTGTCTATGTCTTCCTCTGAAATGCTGAATTGTAACTGACACCTCTCCCCTTTTTATTGTCCCTTCCAGGACCTGTAGGTAGGGTCAGGTTACCAAGTGGATGAGTAATGACCATTACTTCTTCTGCCCCTTCATCAACTGCAGCATCTTTGAAGAGAAAAGCAAATTTTTAAAAAACATAATAATTATAAAGATGAAATAAATTTAATCATGGATTAGTGAGTTGTGCATTGGAGGGAGGGAAGACATACAGGAAAAAGGCACCAAAAGGAATACCCCATCAAGTTCTTCTGTCTACTTATCCTTTCAATGAAAATTTAATTTTCTGAATAGGTAATACTTTCTCACATAGTTCAAATAACAGAAAAAGCTACACATTAAAAAGACTCCTCCCCATCTGCCAGCTCCAGTTCTGAGGTCTCCCACCCCTGAGCAGGTAGAGCTGTTGATAGTAATGTTTTTTGTGTCCTTTTGGAGTTTCTATATAAGGCATATGCAAGAAAGGATCAATATACATTCTTAACTTGCCCCTTAAAAAAAGGTAGCAGTCTACATAATTATGTATCCTTTTTTCATTTTGCATATTCATGTTGACATAGTTTCTCATTATTTATTAAACTTATGCTTTAATAGCACCATGGTATTCCTCTTTTAGTAATTTACAACCTTGATGGTAACCTCAAATCAACTAGTTTGATGACTTAAATAACATTTAGTATGCCTGACTCTGTGCCAGGGACATTTACATAAGATAATTAAAAATAATCCTCATTTTGCATATTAAGAATCTAAGGTTCAGAGAGTCCATAATTTTCCAAATTAAATATAGTGTGTAATTTTTTGAAGCCAGTTATTTGAATTTACAGCCTCTCTTTTCAAGGCCGGTATTGATCTGCCTGTGCTTGGAAATCTGAACTGACCTGGCCATCCTCTCCAGCAGCTCTTTTGCATGGTGATGTTCACTAGTGACCTCCTGTGTTGTTGGACTGACTGGTTAGTTGCAACAGTCAGATTTGTTCCACACAGACTGTCTCCCTCAGTGAGGGGCTGGGGAGACAGACTCAGGGAAAGTTTGGCAGGACTTGAGCCCTTAAGGCTAAAGAATAATGGATTCCCATCACTCTCTGTCCAGAGAGGGGAATGTCAGTCCTACCTCCCTCTCCAAGAGAGAGCTTGTTTATGGTGACGGTTTGAGTGATTTCTATGTTTTTGTGGTTTCCTGTGAAAGAACACAGGGGACCAGTGCCGTGGGGAGAAGGGAAACAAGTGTGGTGGTAGAAGCACTCAGGCTGTGGCAGTTTTTTCTTGAACGACTGTCTGACCAGGGCCCAGAAGGAACGAACACTGGGGCTGACCACTCAATAGCAGTTCTGCTTGGAAAACCAGCTTGCTCGGGGCAGCCATTCCAGACCTTGGGGATTGGAGTAACCTCCTGGGTGGGGTGGGGCAGTTTTTATGATGGAGAAGTCAAGCTATCAACAAAGCATGTCAACTTTCCTTCTGTGCACGGCCCCCTCTTGCTCATCCTTCTTGAAGTCTCCTTTCTTCTGATGCCATAAAATGGAGGAGCAGAACTGATTCAAATGAATTCTTTTTAATGGCTGAGTAATATTCCATACTGTATATGTACCATCGCTTCCTTATCCATTCATCTGCTGATGGGCATCTAGGTTGCTTCCATGTCCTGGCTATTATAAACAGTGCTGTGATGAACATTGGGGTACACGTGTCTCTTTCAGATCTGGTTTCCTCGGTGTGTATGCCCAGGAATGGGGTTGCTGGGTCATATGGCAATGTATGGCAAAAACCACTACAATATTGTAAAGTAATTAGCCTCCAACTAATAAAAATAAATGAAAAAAAAAGTGGAGGAGCAGGAAGGAAGGGTCATTTAGCTTCAGGGTTTATCTCCTTAAATTTATCTTTAAAATCAGACTACCATTCACACTCTGGATCTCTCTCTGGCTCTTGCAGGTTATTCAACATGATCCTTGTTTTCTCTATTTAAATAAAAAACATGTTAGATACTACTAACATATCATACCCAGCCTATGCAGAGTTGGGGAGCGGGATGCATTTCAGAAATAGCCATTGGAGTCAGAGGAGAAAATGGTCTGAATCTTAGTAGAAAGTGGCCGAGGAATGAGGAATAGCTGAGTCAAATATATCTCAGCCCCTTGATTGGAGTTACCTGTCCTGCAGAGCCTACCTCTGGACTCATTTTCCACCATGAAGATCCACTTTGCAGGCCTCATAATAGCTAGTTTCCACAGGCCCCTGAGTAGAAGACAGCTCCTGGCATATGTCTCGCCACTAACCCTTATTCTTCAGGCAGCCTGTTGTCCTGTCAAATGTATTTGAGGATAAGCACTGATGGTATTAAAGTTTTGACAGTGTCCTATACTTATGGCCATTGAACCCTCACATCTGTCTTTGGGGATTACTTTAATAGTGATCCTAAGAGTAAATCATAGAATCATCAGAGTGAAGGATGAATTCCATACATTATATACATGCCCTGACTTTTATCTAGAATCTGTGGAAGGAAACTTTCTGTGATGGCATTCATCATTCTCACTTGCTTTTTGGTCATTCTTTTCTTTTTCTCTTTTAAGACTAAATTTAGCTTTTCTAGAATCCAGATAATATAAAATATTTTTATTGTAAAAATAAGCAAAATCAACAAAATCAAACTGCAATAGAGAGATGCCAATAATAGTTAAATGCATCCTTTTCAAAGTGCTTTCTATGGAATGTAAGTCCCAATAAGATACTGAATAAAAAAACATTTTACTGTTTTCCGAACCTAGAAATTTTTTTCTTTGTCACCTGTTAAAATCCCATTTAATATGTGAATTTTTCATGTGTAAAAATGTATCATGACTAAAAAAACCTTTAAGGAATGATTGGGCTAGAAAATGAAAGGTTCTTGGGGTTACTTAACCAATAAATGAACTGCTCTACATAGAGAGGTGGTCTTTCTTTCTACTGAAAATAAAAGAGCCTTGGGTCAGATAGCCTGTGGAATTTACATGAAGATTGCTAAAAATCAGACTGCTTTTACTATATATAAAACCCTGGGTTATTAGATGGGTGGTAGGAAAGCATATACATGTGTACCATGAGAATTTGAAGAAATACATTATATAATTTATTTGGGCAGACAAGGCTACAACACAGACAACAGGTGAGGCCCAGACAGTGAGATACAGGTGTTTCACTTCCTTTTCTCTGTGAAGATCGGCAGAGGCCAGAATGCTTCTCAGCTGGGATGGAGGTGGGGTAGCATGAGAATAACTAGAAGGCTGAAAACAGACACATTTGAGCCATTTTCTCTTCCTCCAGGGTTCTCATCGGGAATCTGGAGGGCAGAGTCAGGACCCTGGGGTGGGTGTGCCATGTGCTATTTCTACTGTTTCCTTCCCACCACCTGCCAAGTGAGATCCACTGGGCCAGAGGGAAACAGAGTCTGTGTGTAGTGAATATATAGAACCTTCATGCAGGACACACATCAGGAAGGAAAACCAAAGCAAGCAGAGGAGTTTGGTCATTTTGGATGGAGAGATAGGTCGGTGGGTGGGTAGTTAGGCAGATGATTAATAGGTAAGTAGGAAACTATTGAAAATTGTGTGAGCCTTGTGGCATGTTAAAAACAGTGTTTGGGGGTGAGTCAAGGGGCAGAAGGGTAATAGAATGGGCCGGTGGACCAAGATGCTATACACTTTGTTTGGTTGGAAGGAGCTTTTTAAACTCCCAGCGTCCTTATTGTATAGGTAGGAAATTGAGAATCCAGGGAGGTTTACTGTTTTATTCAATATATTTAGTTTATGTCAGATTTAGCCAGTAAACTAGCGTATAATCCAAGAATGTAGTGACAAAGACCTGGGAAGTGTTGGTATCTGTGGATAGAATCTTCCAAGTCCAGATAAGATACATGTTTCAGAAGAAAAATTGATAGGCTGCAGTCACCCACTAGTTTCTTTAAGGATGAAGAAATAAAGAATTATTAATTCTTTAATTAAATAATTAAAGGTGCCTTACCATTTAAACACTGAGGATTCCTCTAGTAAGCTCTAAAAACATCTTTCTCAACTTGGACCTCTCCTTGAAGAAGCTTTTCCTAGAAGAAAATTGGCATGTGCTTCATACAGTATCTTATCAATGACCTACCTTTTGAAGATTACTGTTCATTTTAGTACTGTAATCCCTCCAAAACTTTTATTTTTTGCCTGTTAAAAACATTGATGTGTTTTCATTCGTGTTTGAGAAAGGAACAGTGATTAATTTCATGTTTTCTAGGTAACGAAGCAAGACAAGAACCTCATAAAGCCTCTTTATGACCGATACAGAATTATCAAGCAAATCTTGTCCACACCTTCCCTTATTCCAACAATTGTAAGTCAGGAAGCTTGCCTTCACTACTAACCTGTCCTTGTGCTAACCTGATACTTAGTTAGGGAGGCGGCACCAGGAGAGTGGTAAGCAAGCCTTCTTGGCAGGATATCCTGCCCACACGGCCAGTTGTGTCACAGCGTCGAAACGAGGTCTCCCTCAGCTCCCACACTGTACTTACCAGTGGCTGGTAATTAAAACTACTGTGAAACAGGACTATATAGTGATTCTGTTTTTGAAGCCAGTTTTAGCATTTGCTTTCATTGTTTGGGTGAGGAGAACAAATGATGGATTTTAGTCTGGCATTACCTAATTTACAAAGAGCACAGCTAGACAAAACAGAACCTGTTTTAGTCTGGTGTTGTTAATTTTTCTCCTTTAATAAGGAAATTGATTTGTGTGTTCTTTGATAATAATGCAGCATTTGTTTCTGTTACCATTTGACCATCACTGTGTAAGATAGAAGCAGATTTATTTCAATAGAAAATATGAATACTGAAATTGGGTTAGACTACTTTTAATTAAGAATGATTTATGGGAATACAGAACTAGAAAAGCACCACAAATCCTACACCACCAATATTAGAACAGTCACTTGCTCAAGATGTCAATATTAAAAGAAAATAAATATTAACAGATACAAATTTAAGTATACTTCCGTACATTTATACTTCCACAACTCTATAAACACAGAGACACAGTGACTCATATTTTGAGATTTTCCTATTAAGGAAGCATAATTTAAAACAGGGAATGGTTTTCAGATTTCCTTGCAAGAAAATCATCTGGTTGTGACAAGCATTATCAGAATAGATTACGGAGAATCTCCATTTTGTTTTTGGCCTTCATGAAGCTGTTCCCTGAATTTGTCCATTTTCTGAGTATTCTCTGTATCTGAGCCCAGACCAGGATCTAATTTGGGTGACAGCAGGACACAGAGGTCTGTGGTCTGTCTCTCCTCACCCATGTTAACTCTTACGAAGCTGGGGCCCATGAGTTTGGGGGAAGGGAAGATTGCTAGGCAGTGCAGCCCAGATTGGAACATCTCCCAGTTGTCTGTGCCTTCTTTGGCCGGCAGAGGAAGCTGAGCTTGGTAAGCACTTTAGCCCAGCATGGGTGCTCTATTTGCTTATTAACTTATGTTAAGTTTCTTTTGATGCAGCTGAGGAATGCTAGCATTCCTCTTGGTTCTCAGTAGGCACAGGGGTCACCTACTGTTTTCATAGTGTCTATTTATGGTTCCCTTTTCCTGTTTCTGCTTCCCTAAGAGGCACTTAGCACTTTGTGACTCTATTGAACTCTTCTTATGATAAGCAGGAGGAAGAAGACTCTGATGAAGACTGTCCACAGGGAAGTCAGCAGCCTTCTTTGCCAAATCCAGCATCTCACTCTCCTACTGGCGATCACCTCGCACACTCTAATGAGACTGAGCCTGTGAGGCTCCTGCTCCCTGATGAAAAGAAGGAAGTCAAACCGCCAGCACTCTCCATGTCCAATTTACACGAGGCCACCATGTGAGTGTGAATCCTAAGTGTGGAGTCATCTTTGAACTCCTTCTGGTCTGGGGGACCTTATATGTACATACAATATACAACTCAGAAGAGCTATTACACTCTCTAAAAAATGCCATTCACCAGAAAACACAATCTAGTTATCCTCCTAACAGGGAAATTGAGGAGATAAAGCCGTGAAGAACCAAGGTTCCTAATAAGGTCCTAAATAAAGTGAAGAAAGTGTTAGTCATTCAGTCATATCTGACTCTTTGTGACCCCATGGACTGTAGCCCGCCAGTCTCCTCTGTCCATGAAAATCTCAAGGCAAGAATACTGGAGTGGGCTGCCATTGCCTTCTCCAGGGGCTCTTCCTGACCCATGGATTGAACCCAGGTTTCCTGCATTGCAGGCAGATTCTTTATCTAGTCTGAGCCACCTGGGAAGCCCAGTATGGTCCTAAAGATATCATAAGGGCTGAGGTTCAGTTTATACCACTGCAGGTCATTTCAGCAGGATCTGGTACCAGTCTAATGCCTGGTAGTGTTGGCCTTTGATGATGCTAGAACAAAAGGAATTGGGATTCTGCCTTGGGTCAAAAGTTGTCAGGACCTTTATTCTATTCTATTTAGATAAAATGCTTTTGCCAGACTGGGACTTAAGTAAATGAGCTGACCTTTTTCTTCTAATGGCTCCTCAGTCAGGAGCCATTTGGATTTTCATTAGTGTCATTATTAGTATTATTCAGTAGCTGGCCTTCCTCTGATCATTTGGCCTTCTTTCGTTTGTATATTATAGGCCAGATTATGAGTTTTTTTAACATGTGTAATAGTGTGGAGAGTATATATGCCCCAAGAAAGGGATGGAATCCCCACAAATACCTGAGAAAAGACCAAGGACTAGGTTGTAAGCTGAGATTTTAGTGTGCTTGTTATCAGCTGGCACCCCAGTTTCAGCTGAGAGAAGAGTGACCTGTTTGGAAGCAGAACATCAGTCTTCCCTCTTCCTCCATTTTTCCCTCTTTCCCTCCCTGCCTTCTTCTCTCCTTCTTCCCTCCCTTTCTTCTCTTTCTTGGTTGACTGGCTGGCTGGTGGGCTGTTCTAAAGCAACTGTACTTTTTTGGGGGGGAGTAGGGAGGGAGTATGTAGGGCTCTTTGGAAAGCAATGGAATCTTTTTCTTTATAGAAAATGCCCATATATAATTTCAGAGAGTTCACAGAGTTTCTGAAACCAGACACAAGCTCCCCAGGTAGACTCCTGTCTCAGGTAGTTGACTTTTCTCTCTTAGAATGAAGTAAGTAGAATCTGCAACGTAATTACAGCTTTCTTTGGGTCTTTGTTTCATTCCCAAGGATTTTGACATTCCCCTTATAGTCAAGATTCAGAGTAGAATTGTTTTTAAAATCTCTCCCTCTAGCCTGTCTCTAGTCTGTCATCAGATAACTGATGAGTATGCCTACAAAATGCTTCTCCCTCATGCACTCATGGGGCCTTTACTGTCCCCACTTCTTCTAATGGACTCAGTCTGCTTGCCACCATCCGTCCTTTCCACTTTCTGATGGTGTTGTTTTCCTCCTCTGTGATGCCCCCTGCCACGTGCTCCCCCTGGTCAGGCTCTACATGTATCATCCTTATTCCAAAGGCAGTCTTTTAAGTAGAACACTTTTGTATAGCCTTTTCCTAAATATCTAACTCTGCTCATCTCTCTCAGTTATGCCAGAGCTCCATAATGGCAAATATGTATTCTACCCGATACAGGCCTGTACTTCTTGACCATCTCCGAGAAACTAGGGCTGATAAGAAGAGACTCCGGAAAGCCTTGAGAGAATTTGAGGAACAGTTTTTTAAACAAACAGGAAGGTAAGTGTGGGCAGAGATATTTTTTAAGCTAATAAGTCCTAGAGAACTAACAGTAGTAAGCTCAGATTTTTTTTTTTTTTTAAGTAACAGTGACTTTATACAAGACATAATTTCCAGTGACTTACAACTAGCGTTTGTCTAATGCAGCATTTGGGTAGTATCATTATTGGGTATGTTTTACAGGAGACTGTAGCTATCAAGTATGAGACATGAATCTTTAAAAAATAAAAGATGAATTCCCCAAATTCCCTAACTTTGCATAATAAATCCCATTATAACTACTGAATTTATCTAAACCTTAAATAAATCTATTTGATTTTTCAGCCCATGTTAGTTCTCTGTTGTAAATTGACTGTTATAAGTCCAAGTGACCTACCTTTCTGCTGATGTTAACTATCTAATGAGAAATGTTATGCGGTTGTTAAATTCAGAATATAAAACAATTTTTTTTCTTTTTTCCTTTATAGAATTTCTATACAACTTTTACATTTTTTAACCTATCCAAACCCAGGCAATTTAAAGAGTTTTAGGACTTTCTGGTGTGTTATTAGTCCTGCTAAATGGGTCTGCAGTGATACTTGGCATGCTTCTGACATCCAGGGAAGTTAGTTATGTTCTATGTATAGTATTTTAAATGCACTAGTGAGTGCGAAACCCACGTCAGATATGCTTACTACTTGGTTGAGGTTATCTGCCCTCTTGTGGTAATACACTTAAACTAAATGCAGAAGTGGTGCCATATTACAAGTAAAATCAAATAGTTGAAGGGCTATGAAATACAGATCTTGCTTTTCTAAAACATTTCATTGGGAAGGGTTACCTGTCTATAGGTAAAATAACCATGCAAATAGATTATTAAAAATTTTAATGTTCTATAAATGTTCTTGGTAATAGTCATCATGCAAGAAGCATAATTACCTAGATATGACCTTAACAGTTATGAGCCAGGACCTGTGCTAAATGCTTATGTATGTTTTATATAACGAGAAAAGTGGTTAAGGAAATACTTAGTAAAAGTTCTGATCCTGGGTCAATGCATTCTTGTTTTTTGTTTTTTTTTTTTTTTGCATTCTTGTTTATTAGCTAAAGTGGAGTGTGCCGGACCAGAGATAATTGCATGATGAACTATTAGTGTTTCCCTATAAATTAGACTATTTCTTTATTTAGGTATGTTTACACAAGTTAAGGTGGTATTTAGATACCCAGTTATGATAAGTTTGGCTCAGAATACAGAATGGAAGCAAAGGAATTATGTTAATTTAAGAGGAACTCTGGCTAACTCTGTTCTGAGTTCTGAACTAGAGATTTCAGGGAAGACTCTATAGATTCACAAAGAATATAGTTATCTACTGGTGTTTAACACTATATATACTGCCCTGAAATTTCTAGTTCAGAGCTCAGAACAGTACACAAATCTATGTGCATTGTTAGCTGTGCTTTTATTGTAAGAAATGTAACTTTATCAGGACTGGGAAAGTGGAAGGGGTGTAGGTTGTCAGCTTTTTACCGATTTTCAGCCATACTTATATTAGAGAGGATCTATGTTTATATTCAGTAGCAATGGTGGTGACTTTATCTGGGTTTTCCAGTCCTTGTATTTCAAAGTCATGGGTGGAAATATTTTAAAAGCAATTGGCCATCTTTCTTAACTAAGGAGATCCTGAACTAACTCTTGTCCTTTAGATAACATATCCTGGCAATGTATTTTTCTGGGAAGGCAGATGATTTTAACTCCAGATGTTACCCAATTATTCTTCAAAGTAAATGTCAAGAACATGTGGCAGTCGGGAGGCATATGTGTGAAAATGCGCATGATCCTTAGCCTACTCTTAGTAGGATTAGTGTGCAAGGAACCACTACAGTTTAGACACAGATTCCTGAAAGGAACTTCTCTGTGACTCTTCTATACATTAACAGAGATAGGTACTATAATTACAAGAAAGTTTAGAAATAATTCATGTTTGTAAGGTAGCTACTGAGCTTTTTCCTCCTACTACCATAGATTTATGTTATTTCTGTAAACGTAATTTTTGTAATATTTTTAGCTTGATATTTTAAACAACTATCACTGTAAGGGCTGAATATTCTGCACAGGCTTGGATGATGGGAGAAAGACTAGGTAAAAAAATACCTTGAGGGTTCTGGTTTTTATTTCCCGCAGACCTTTCCACTTCCCCAATGCTATATGTCTATGCACTGGACAATGTATTTGCAGAACACTTATAATATTTAACTTCTCAGAGCACTATTACATTGAAACCTAGTAACACATGGAAGAGGGAATGAATGAAGAGGAAAAAAGACTTGATGCAAAAATCAAGTGGAAGTTGCTGCCCTGTACTTTTCTCACAGAGTTAAAAAAGGATTTTTAATGACTTGGTTCCTTAATGAACTAATGCATTTTATATATATATATATATATATATATATATTTTTTTTTTTTTTTGCAGAAGTCCACAAAAGGAGGATCGGATACCAATGGCAGATGAGTACCATGAATACAAGCATATAAAAGCCAAACTGAGACTACTAGAGGTCCTCATCAGCAAGCAAGATGTGGCCAAAACTATTTGAGGTTCAGGAAATGTTTGTGATCACTTTCACCTGCAATAAGGCAAGTTTATTTTCCTCTGCCGTTCTTGCTAAGTAGTATGACAACTGAAAACTGAAGCACTTTAGTGGTAGTATTAGCTGCTGTTAAGAATGGATGGCAAGTGTAATTATAAATGCGTAGAAGGGATTAAAATTGGAGAAAATACAGTAAGTAACATATAATTGGAAAATAAAATTCAGCCTTCTCCATGCCAAGGAGAAAATGCAGAGTCAGTATAATTACTTCAGAAAACATCTATTTTATCAAATCTAAGTAATACAAAGCGTCCACCTGTTAAATGGACCACTGGTTAGAGAAAGTCTACTTAATGTCCAAAGACTGCTTATACTGACATATGAAAAAGAGCATGATTTTTAAAAATCAATAAGAAGAACAAAAGAAACTCATTTTACATAAAAAGGGATACAGTTAGTAAGAATGTAATTTATTTGAAACTTCTAATAGATTTTTAAGTGATAAAAAATCTACTTCCTTGTCCCTTAAGACTGCTAGGCTTTCAGCACCCTAAAATATACTAGAATGTGTCACTGCTAATTTTTTATTTCTATATAAAAATAGCACATTATCTGTTCCTTAAAATTTTACATTTCTGATTACCAAAGTTCATTCTGATAGCATGTACTTTGTGAATTATCTTTGTTTATAACTGACAGATGTTTATATTAAAATAAAATACTGTATTAAAATTTGAAAATAGGTATTTTGGATAGATGTGTCTGTAGCATATAATCTAATGTGATCACAGTTATAATAGCTAATCTTTTTGTTTACTGTAAGATTATATAAACTATTTTTCCATTGGGAATATATGTTTTCTTAATGTTCCAAGGTCTATATTTTGTAAAGTCAAAAATTTTCCCCATGAACTATATAGTTGTTCCTCATTCTGCATAAAATGAAAGGTTTAGAAAATGCTATAACACCTTGGAAAAGAAGCCGGAATATTTTATTTGCGTCATTAACTTCAGTGTATATTGTTTTGTTATTTTGTATTAAACCACGTTTATTATTTTGCTTTTGTAAAAATAAGTAAAAGGTCCACATTTTCTTTCTCATACCAGCCATGTTTGTAGTTCTCTTTTCTGTAATGTTTAAGCACAATGGTGAACAAATTCACATTTTCATGTAATTTGGATGGGATTAATATTGACTATTTCTGAAGCACATGGTTTCAGAGGCTTATTGTTTTCTTTATATTTACCTATGTTTACCTGATATTTTATAACCTTTATGAATCAGAATAATGTCCTTCACAAATTTAATTAAAGTTATGTACTTGTAACAGGACAGATACACAACTATTTGAGGTTTACAAACTACATCTTTGATAAGGGAAATGGTTTCGTGACATGTATACAATTGCTATTAAGATGTAACTCTATATATTCTATAAGATTGTAAATATTTTATACAACAATACAAATAAAATATTTTTCTATTATATTTATTATGTTGAAACACAGTAGTTGTTTCCTGTTAGCTAATATAAATAACATAAATAACACTGTCAAACAACAAGTTGGAAGTGCTGACAATTCTAGGCTTCAAGATTTAACTCATGCTGCAATTACACTTTTTCATGCGGTTTGGAGTTATCCCAATATTTGTTCAGTAGATTAAAATGAGAGCATATTTAAACACCATTTATAAGCCATTATTTTGTATTTTACTAAAGCAGTTTATATAATAGTTTGGTTATGTTTGGCATAAAGGAAAAATAAAAACATTGCAGCATCTAGGCAAGAGAGTGTCAGAAACAACTTAGGATAGTTCATCTCTCAAAGTCATGGGAAGGGTAGGGAATAGGAAAACACTACAACAGCTTGGAAATCTGAAAAGTGGTGGTTTGCTTTTGGTGACAGTGGCATATGCATGCTTCAGTGGAAAACATCTGGGTGATGAAAATGGACAACAGAGGATCAGGGTTCCTACTGGAAGAAAGGGGGACTAAGAATAAGAAAAGTGGGCGTTAACGTCCAACACTAATATTACAGGTTTTGCAGCTGGGATCTTTCTTTGCATTTGCAGTAGATAAACTCATGAGCTGATGACCAGTGATTTCTGCCACGGTGCCTAGAGAAAGATCCACGGGGTCAGTGTAAATGACTTCTAAAATGACATCCTGGGCATGGTGGTAAACCAGCATCCCATCTTCTTCTCTGCAGGTCAGAAATTTATTATCCTGGGAATTTAGTTGAGGAAGGCGCTGCTTACAAAATTCATCTCCTGGTGATCCCACAGGAGCAATGACCAGAATCACATAATGATAAGCAGTGTACATACAGTAGAAGTCCCCAAAATATAAGTTAGTATTGGGGTTAAAAAGTTTTTCTGCTGCAATCTCAAACCTGTATCTTCCATAAGGTGAATCCTGGGGTGGCTTCCCAGTATTGAATTCAGTGCTGCAGCTAAAGAAGATGCCTTCTAACTTTCCACTGATAGGAGAGCCATGGCTGCCACTGTTATCCTTGACAGAGGGCTGCATAGCATTCCCATGATGTTCTCTGCAAGAGAAAATAAATGGTCACTGCTAGGTACAGTGATGGTAGAGCTACTAATGTGTAGGGTTGAATGGTGTTAGACTACAAGTCAACTGTCTACTATTAACAGCCTGGGTGCTCATCCATCCTACCATCAGATCAAGGAGAATGCATCTTTTGACATTACTTACAAAAGGCTAAATTTCAGCCATGACCCTAGGGTAAGAATGCTCTGCTACAAACCTTGGAGGTCTTTTAACATGATAAATTTCCTGACCAGGAAAACAAAAGTGGAATGAGAAATATTATGGTTGAAATCACATCCACTATAACCCTACTGGGTTTTAGAAGTGGTCTGGGGGAGAGAAAACTGGACTGACAACGCGGGTTAAACATGCTGAATGTTTCCTCAAAGTCTGCCAGAATTTAGGTCTAAAAAGAGTGTTGTCCATGAACATCAGTACAAAAGCATCTTTTATTTTTTTTGCTTCAGTTTTTTAACCCAGGCCCAGTTGACTACTCAGGTCATCTTGCTTGCATTTTGCTTATAATAGAGCTAGTTGTCTTCCTTTACTACACTCTCAGCTCTTTTTTTTACACTTCTCACCTCTCACTGGGCTGGGCCTCTGTCATCCAGTTCTTCCTGCTCCTTGGTCCCTTCCATTCAGTTATACCAACGAGAGAGACAGTAAGAGACATGGAAAGATAGCCCATGGTCTTAGACTAGAAGAATTAATATTATTAAAATGTCCATACTACCCAAAGCAGTCTACATTTAATTGGATCCCTATCAAATCAATGTGATCCCTATCAAATTACCCATGAAATTTTTCACCGAACTAGAACAAGTAATCCTAAAATTTATATGAAGCCATAAAAGATTCAGAATTGCTGTGGCAATCCTAAGGAAAAAGAACTAACCTAGAGGCATAACCCTCCCACACTTCAGACAATTCTGCAAAGCTACAGTAAGCAAAGTATTATAATAGCACAAAAAACAGACATGTTAGATCTATGGAGCAGAACAGAGTCCAGGAAAAAACCCCATACACCTATACTCAATTAATCTTTGATGGAGGAGGCAAGAGTATATAATGGAGAAAAGAGTTTCTTCGGCCAAGTGGTGTTGGGAGAGCTGGACAGCTACATGTAAAAGAATGAAGTTAGAACACTCCCTCACACCATACACAAAAAAAAAGGTGAAATGGCTTAAAAACTTTAAATATAGAGAACACCATAAAACTCCTAGAACATAGGCAAAGCATTCTCTGACATAAATTGTACCAATGCTTTCTTATGTCAGTCTCCCAAGGCAATAGAAATAAAAGCAAAAAATAAACAAACGGGACTTAATCATAATTAAAAGCTTTTGCACAGAAAATCAAAAACAAAATGAAAAAGACAGCCCACAGACTGGGAGAACATAATTTGCAAACAATGTGATTGCCAAGGGGTTAATTTACAAAATAAACAGTGCATATAACTCAATAACAAAAAACAAACAACTCAGTTAAAAAATGGCCTGAATACCTAAACAGACATTTCTCCAAAGAGGACATGGCCAATAGGCACATAAAAAGATGCTCAACATTGCTAGTTATCAGAGAAATGCAAATCAAAACTACAAAGAGTTACCACTCTCACACTGGTGAGAATGGCCATCATTAAAATGTCTACAAATAATAAATTCTGGAGATGATGTGGAGAAAAGGGAACCCTCCCACACTGTTGGTGTGACTGTAAATTGGTGCAGCCACTGTGGAAAACAGTACGGAGGTTCCTTAAAAATCTAAAACTAGAGTTACCATATGATCCACCAATTCCATTCCTAGGCATATCCCTGGAAAAGATGAAAATTCAAAAAGATACATGCGCCCCAATGTTTACAGTAGCACTGTTCACAACAGTCCAGAGATAGAAGCAACCTAAATGTTCAGTTCGGTTCAGTTCAGTCACTCAGTCGTGTCTGAAATGTACATTGGCAGATAAATAGTCTTAAAAAAGAAAGAATGCCATTTGCAGCAACATCGATGGACCTAGAGATTACCATACTAAGTGAAGAATGTCTGAAAGAGAAAGACAGATACCATATGATATTACTGCTTCCTGTGTGGCCTTCACTGACACTGCAGGGGCTAACCTTATTATCATCCCTTGGCTATGATGAAAAGTCATGGTTCCCACTGGGCTTCCTCTGACACCAGCCCAGTGGGAAGGCTGACAGGCAACTCATTGCCACTGGTGTGGGTTGTAAACACCGGCTCCCCATTAGCCTTCTCCGATGCCACTGCAACAAGGGGTGGAGGAGGAGGGAAGGGTGGTTCCTAACAGTTGGAAGATACAAGTCTAGGTTCCCTACCTGGCCGAGGCTGGTGGCATGGAAAAAAAGGTTTTTTTCTATGGTGTTTAGCTGGAGTAAAGGCAGTTACTGTTTAAAAACTTTGCCTTCATGGCTGTCCCTTTCCTGTTCATTTGGGTAA